AGGAACCAGTCTCTCCACGCGGGTGAGAACACGCTGGAACGTACGCTCTGCAGCTCTCGAAGGGCAGCGAGATTGCGGCGGCGATAGTCCGGGAGAAGGTGTTGGGGCGAGATGCGATCAACAAGCGTCTGCGTATGCAATGCTCGGGTAACGACCATATCAGAAAGGTTCCTCGAGAGATGCTTGATCTCATCCTGCTGCAAGACTCCTTCGGCGGCACTGGTACAGGCATGCTCAATGCGCCGAGCGACGTATTCTACGAAGCGATCACCAACCACCCCCGTGATGTTGTCCTTCTCCTCGTCGCTTAGCGTGCCCCACTGCCTCTCCACTAGCGCTACTGAAAGCGCGTCAGCACATGTTTGCAGGTCGGGCAAGATGCTCGTGGTGAGGGCTCCCTCAACAACAGCCAGGATTATGTTAGCAGCGTCGTCAGAAGCAGTAGAATCGTCGAAGAGAGGACGGGGAGATCCAGCAGTGAAAGTGATTGCATCGACCAGGTGGGGCAGGGTCCCCGCATCGGAGCCAGATATTGGAATTTGCGCTCTCCTGACTGCGGAACTCGATGCCATGATGGTCTCAATGAAGTAGAAAAACTCTGACTCTCACCATTTATCCTACTTGCAGCTATTTGCCGCTACGAAATCAACTATCTGTCATGATGTACGCATAAACAAGTGAAAGAAATGTTGCAGATCAGGGATGAGAGACAACGTACTCGCAGAACGCAAGATACGATCGGCTGCTGACGAGGGTGTATACTACGCAGATGGTAGAACCAACTGTATATAGCTATGTCAGCTACTTATGAAAGAACGAGAGGAAGTAAGATAGCAAGATTGAGTGTCCGATCAGCAACACTCCCCGGGCGGCCGAAGCCACATATTACTTCAAAAGATAGCAAAAATGAAGAAGAATATCAATGACTACTGATCAACAACATCAACTGCTGCGTTAACCTTCTTCAGGTTACCGATGTAATCAAATCTAACTTGACCAACAGTATGAGTGATACCAGCGATCACTCCATTGATACTAACTACAGTATAAATTACATCCTCAATCCAACGTCTATCTAGCTTATTGCGACCATGATTGTAACGCACAACCTGATCACCTGGTTTGAGACTGAATGAGGCTCTAGCTATGCTTTGACCAGCATAAGAACTGCGAGATCTTATCATAGAGTCGAGATTCTCGGCTTCCATAGCAACATAAACGCTATCATCAGAAA